TGGATTCGTTAAGATTATCACCAAAATGGAGACGTCAGTCGCCAGTAAACGAGAAATCGGTCAAAGAAACCCGTATCATTGCAAACTCTGATTGCCGGTTAACAAACCAACACTTATCTCCTGATAACCGTAAACACGCAACAATATCGACGTCGAGTTCTGATTATCCTGAAACAGAAACGTACGACTCTTTTTCCGACTCTGCTTACTCGCAAAGTTCTGAGACATCGGTCAATTCCGATAGGAGATCACTCAATACAACTTCAACAGATTCGGATAACAACCGATTATTCCATCGAGATACTTCGCCAAGGAGTCAGATTTGGTCGAGAGGCGACACCGCTGAGGTTACAGACTTAGATGAGGGATACTTCAGGAGGGTTTTAATGTTGATGAAAGTTGTACTTTATTTACGACACAACTTTCCTCTGAAACTGGTTCGAAGAAGAAGAAAGGTTTATCCGGCCGATAGTAGAAGAGACAAGCTCCAAGGTCACGACAGTCCCAGTTTAAGTTCCAGTTCAATGGACTCGCAGGACTCAAGTGAATATAGCGGTAGAAGTGCGCGAAGTCGAAAGCGTATTTCATTCAGTCCAACAACTCTTCTTTTCTCTGCAGTAACAGAAAAGGCCTATGCGGAGGCCAAAAGTATTCTAGAACAGCAAGATCTGGACGTGAATTCTCAAACTCCAAATGGGCAAACTCTACTACATATTGCTGCAGCAAATGCGGATTTGAAATGCACTCAGCTTCTTATACAGTACGGAGCGGACGTAAGTTTGAAAGATGTTAGCGGTTGGACACCTTTACATGCGGCTGTTAGGCGGGGAAACTGGAAATGTGCGATTTTACTCATCGAGGCTGGTGCTGATTTCGGAGAATACGCACAGACAAGAATCCAAGAGTACAATCAAGTGCTACAAATGTCTTCTTCGTATTATCGATCGGTAGAGATCTTTGTATAATGCAGTTCGCTTGTCTCTGAACTGTCTTAATTTATTTATGTACCAGTCTGTGGTACTTTGTACATTTACTTGATCTTAAGTACACGATTGTAAATAGTAATAACGACGCCTTTAACTTGACACAACAACAGAGTTTCCATATGGCCGAATATTTAATCATGATGACCTATGAATAAAGGATGATTTAATTTAGATTTTTATTTAGAGAGTTTTTTCGCAAATTCCTCATTTTGGTCAGTATCGCTCTTTGCAGGAGTCCATTACTAAGTTGTCGGCATATTTTGCCTCGGAGTTTAAACCAACTTAGATGCTATTCATAGTCGCACACCGTGGGTCAATTTCAGTCCAAATCGATGTTTAACAAAACTATTAAGAAAATTCAAAACACTTGAGCTGAGATGTTTTAAACGCGAATAAAGTAGAATCTTTGGTGCGCTGATTATGGTGAATTTTAACGCAGGGTACCTCTATCAATCTTACTTTATGCCTATAAAGCACGTTGGTTGAAAATGAAAAATCTTCTAAACCTGCAGTTAGCACTCGAGCGAAAATGATTTGGCATTACAATTATCACTAATGGCACTTTGTTATTGTTTAAGTGGGGCAAAGAAGTCAAGGACATGATTCTTAACAAAAACACCCAAATAGGCCGGCTATGGCTTACATGACGTACTTTGTGAATGCTAAATAGCCCTGTAGTTTAAAAGATGGAATACAATTTTTTTTTTTAAGAAAAAAAAAAAAGAACGAGGAAAGAGTTTTTTAATGTAACAAATATGTCCAATGCTTCAGTGAACAAGAATTCTAAGAACGTAAGTGTCGATTTGAAGTATGCTCCTATTTGAACCCATTTTTTATAAGGTCACCGCAAAATGGATATAATTGGTTTATCAATAAGCACATTGGCTCCATATGTTTTGACACTGAACATATTTTTAGTACTTGTTGTTCTCAAACAAGTCTTCGACATGTTTTGAAATTGAGCAGATTTTGAGCACTTTTTTCCAAACAAATCTCTGATAGGTTTTGAAACTGAATAGATTTGAGCACTTGTTGTAGTCAAACAAATCTTCCATGGGTTTTGAAATTGAACAGATTTTGAGCTTTGGCCTCAGGGGAAAAAAAACTGACAAGAGGTTTCCTTACATTTTAAACTTGTTTGTTGTTAAGACCTTTGCGTATTTTTTGGTTTTAATCGTGGTTAAATCCATACCATTTGGAGAAAAATGGTAGAACCTGGATTTCATTAATCTAACCTCTTTAAGCAACTTTGATGTAGTCAATGAATTTTCGTTTTTACACAGAGGTATCACCAACTGTACACGTCTGCTTGATGTTTAAATAGCACAGCGGAAAAACTTGCTTGCATGATAGGAGGTGCACGTCATGTACGGGGAAATATATTATGCTTTTTACCGGTCACAAGTCATCACTCTCGGCAGACGTGACAGGAGCCGAGTGAAAAAATACAGGATTTAGACTTGATTACGATTTGTTTGTTAACAACTGAATGGCTCGTTAGTTGGCGCAGTTTCATAAACATATAGAAACGTTTTCCTTTTGTCTGAGAAACTTCTCTTTTTGATATTTATAACTCGTGTGAAAAAACTAAGCAACTTCTGCGTATGCATCTTTCTAGAGGCGCGCTATTATCGCCGGAAAGTGAGATGAAAGCACATCTGGATATCTGGAATGGAATGGAACAATCCGACATCGAATCAGTGATGAAGGTATATATTGTTACTATATTTTGTAAGCCTATACACGATTTGGTTTGACCTCCTTTTTTCACACATAAAACTATCGACAAATACTTGAGACAGTTCCTTTCATGTTCCGCACAAATTTTCGCTTGTTTTGCATTTAATGCAAGACTGTTCTTATTTCGATAGTTTTTTGGGTCACGATTCAAAAGTAGACGGTTGATATTCACGCGGTTTTTTTGATGGAAGATTTCCAAGGTAATTAAATTCATCACGAAATCAACCTGAAATGGCTGACGTTATTTTTTAGTGAAAACAATAGTATGTTTGTTTGTTTTTGGCGGAGAGTATCCATGTAATTTTAAATGCACAAGTCAAACGTCTCCCCCTTTTAATACCTTAAACTAGTAATCAAAGTTTAGTAAAGTGCGTTCGATCTCTAGTAAAAGTATTTTTTATTGTACTGATTGCGCAGAAAAAATCGGTGTCTTCAGCTCAAGGCGGCCAAGAAAACACATGAGATCGAGGCTATTTGTGCCACATAACCAGCCAGCCAGCCAAGCTAGTCCAAAATGGCGCCTAATGCCTGAAATCGCATGTCATCACGATCGATCCCCTTTAGGACTGGTCCATAAAACCCTCGAGAGTGATTCCCGTTAAAACGCTGCGATTAGTATGCGTTCTCCTTCGTCGAACGCTGTAACTTTCCCATTAAAAAATAGAGTCAATTTTCACCAGCCGACAGTAAAGAGTTACGCTGCTGAAGCTTCTTTAAAAAATTTACTTTTTCTTCTTGAAACTTGCGTTTAGTTATCTGTGTTACTCTAAGGACAGGTTATGAAACTGTAAAATTCCTTGTAGTAATCTCATAGCTACTACTAGCAGCAGCTTCTCCTTAACTGATAGATTTTCAGTTGAGTGTCGAAAGTAACCCGGTATTAAATTGATTTTACTTTTCCTCGATCTGCAACAATAATCAGACGCAAAACTTGGTTACTTGCGTAACTCTCAGTAATTGCGGCTTGCTTTCTTATTTTCACTTTTGGTTCCGATTGGCCCTTGCGATGTTATCCTATTTTCTGATTGGCTTTGGTGATTATCAAGGTTTTGGTAAACATTATTCCTAATAGAAATGTGTCCCACTGTAATGACCTTTGGCTGTTTGAGTCGATCATTAGTTAAAACACTGAAAACATTCTCTAATCAGTTGTAATATGTTCCATTCTCTTATGCAATTTACCTTGGAAGAAGGCCAACATTATTTTTCCCATGATTCGATCATCAAATTTCCTGGAGCTTCTGAGGTGGAACGAAATTCCAAGCTGTATGAGAGATGTTCCGTGATTAACAATTTTATGGAATAAAGATAACTTGTCCGGTCACTTTCTGACATTTTGAAATAAGAACTTAACTGTATTGAACGCCAGCGATAGTTAGAAAGTAGGTGAAAAACCCTTTCATTTTAAATTGGCTGATTTTGTCGTTAAAAGCTCTATACAAGCTTAATTCGCTGGATTCTGAGGAATGGCTTTGCTTTAGTTATGAAGAGAAAACCATTTTTTATGTTCAGATGCCTTAAAAAGCTACATATTTTATTCTGTTCTTCTATGCTAAAGCTTGCCTACGCTCGTTGAAAACGGTGAATGAGTACCGATTGCCGTTGAGTTTTCTTTCCTACTAATGACAATTGGAATGTCAACAGTTAAAGTGTTGGCTCTCACGGAACAAAACTCCACACAGGAGAGTTTCGCCGTGGCATAAGAGAATCTCCTCGACTTACTGCCTGTGATGTTCCTTTTTTTCAACTGTGGGGAGCATCCCAATTGTTGCGTTTAATTGTACATGTAGCATTTGTTGCCAGAAGTTCTCTGAGACATCCGGCCTTGACTATTTGAAGAGCATACCGATCTAAGACAGTGCTCAAATCGACTTTTCACTTCCTGTTTTTTACTTTCAACGCTACCGAAATGTAACTTAGAGCAATCACTCTTGGTTTAAGAATATTGATGATCAAATTCTGTCAAAACTGGACCGTGAGGGTTCAAACCTCCTTGCTATTAATACACTCATTTGCTGTGTTTAAATCAATAACCTACATGAGTGTGTTAAGTCAACCAAGAAACAGGTGCATTCATGATGATAGAACAACTCCAGTCACTTCCACGTATGATAAGGCAACCCTTTTGCTGTTCAAAAAACAAAAGAGGCTTTGCGTTAAGTTTTAAAGTTGACGTAATGCCTCTTAAGAACCCAGATAAGATTACTTTGGCAAGAGAAATGGGTTTTAGAATAATTAAGCTACACGATAGAAACTGATTTTAACGTGTGATAATAGATTTATTGTAACTTCGAAATCCTTTACAAGGTTAAATAATAAGTTGTATCACATCAAAACAACTGATCCTGATCAGTTGATAACATAGCAATAATGTTGATAATAATAATTAGTTTTTCGCAATGTAATAAATATCGTCTCTCACTGAGAGTAATAACAAATAGTCCAATTATCGGTTGACAGTCACCAAACAATTTATGATATTCAATTACAAAGGAATTTTGAAAGAAATTGTTCATTATCATTATTATACTTAAAGAGAGGAAGTTCGCTGCAGATTCATTTCACGAAACCTTCGTAAAATTTCCGTTTGTTAGCAATTATATTTCGTCGCAGAAGTGATCAACACTATTTCCATTTTTCTTTATATTTTCTTATAATAGTGGTTACCAGAAAAAAAATTAATTAAATTTAGTGTGCCACTCCCAGAGTGCATAGCAAAGATTGACGTTATACACCAAAGACGCACGTGTACACCTCAGTAATGACATCATGAAAGGTGGAATAGATGACGTAGTTCCGGTAAATCCTCACGACATCGTCAGTGATTGTAAGGTTCTAAAAAGTAAGATTTCTAATTTTATAAAGAGGTCAACATTTCTTTACAAAATCACCCCTGAATCAAACATTAAGTTTACGGAAAAAAAAAAGGAAATGATCACCATTAAAGAAGCTCTCGATTATGAAACAAAGTCTCTCTGTCAGCACCTTAGGAAATGTATCGAGAACAGTATGGAGAATATGCACACTGATGTTGTGGTGTAAAGGGTTTGGCTAGATTTTCTCGTTTTTTCAGTGCGTAAGAAGAGGAAGAGCTTTTGGAGCACGTCACCTTTGTACTTATCTTTAGCTTGAATAACATTCATTACATTTCCTACTGATGAAACTAACGCTAGCGAATGCTGACTGCATGGCAGTGCTCATTTAAGTTAGGACCTCACTGTCTTGGAAAACAGCGTGTCAAACTATTCATGCTATTTTATCCTCAACCAAAAGCCTAGTAAATGAAGATCTTGATCGTGATGATGAGATATTTAATTTAAGGAAAACTGTATCCATAAGAAAACAAGTATAACATGATGAAAACTGGAATTAAAAATTGACGACATGATTACGATCTTGTATCGCTTTGTAAACTTACCAGCCAGTTTTGGTTGACAAGCTCTTGTAGATATCCACGAGTGTATCGATTTAATTGCTTCTCCGTCAACACAACTTGACCAGCGGGCACGGAGTGACCTCTTATCAGCAGCTGAAGTTTAAACCAATGAAAAATTATTCATGCTCAAATGAACGATAACAAATTCACAGCCAACGAAGTTGCAAAATAGCCCAGTAAGAGGTCTTCTGTTACATTTACCAAGATAATTGAACTGAATATCTGGACGAGAAACGTACCCTTGTCGCGATCTTCCGCAAATATCAGACCCTTTGGTCTTGCACACTTTTCTTGATCGAGATTAAATGTGATAAATGCTGGTCGTACCAGTGTAACCCTTATGTTTCATGCATCACTTCAATCACGTGACCTTTACGAACCACACTTTACCTTAAAATATCCTAGGTTTTTGAGTGCAGTAATCGCTACTATAGGTGCTTGTAAGTAAGTTATTAATGATCAGAGGAATGCCCTCTTGAATACTGAGAATTAGGGAGAATATTACCTCATGTCTTAAAGTGCTAACTGTACTATTCAGGAAAAAGCTGGTCTCCTTGAGTACACTTGCTAGCACCGTGTACTGGGGCCCATGTGCTTCCTCATAAGAGTAGGCCATGTACAGTGGTGTGATGTAGTTAGAGAGCTTTAAGTAGCTGTTAGTGAGCTTGTCTTTCAATTGCTGGATAAGAAAGAAAGGATCACAATTGTCAGATAGAGAGAAACTCTCAGCTCAATGTGAAAAGTTATAATGGATTGCATTAGTTTTAATTCTACCCCTACGGTAATTGGTGAAGAAAACTAGCATCGTGCTATCGAGCAATCAGATGCCTACTAAAATCCATCAAGGAAATCTAGTGGCTCGCGTTTTCTTGTGCTTCCGGTAGTTTACTTCACATGTATTTTCTTTGACCTTTCATTCGATTCATTTGATAAATATCCTTGTTATAATTGGCTTAGAGGTAACGTTGGTTTTACATTAGGATCAACCGAAAAGCCCTCCGTATACCATAGTCTGCACTTTGGCTACTCTAGGTTGGTCTTCGCAGTTTGATAAGGTTCATCCTGGTCAGAAAATCTTAGAAAAGAGTAAATATTTTAAAGCCAGGACCATGCAGCTACATGTGAAAGTAGCAATTTAGTAACAGATTTCTATTGGTTTACCAGCGCAAAAACGTTCGCGGGGTGTCGAGAGGACTTGAGAAAGGTTCTTACATCGCGAGCCGAACAAGAGTGGGTAATCAGCTTAACGTTGGGGTAGTGTGGGGTGCAGGGGGTGATAGATTTTAGTATTCCCCAGACCTCACTTTCATTACATACCAGATTTAAAGAGCACTTTTTCGTCACTATCACTCCAAGCATCAGCATTGTCTCCTGCAGATCGTTCGTCGAGGTTATAAATGGATACTTGGTTTGCATCTGCAGAGAGTTTTTACATACATATTAACACACTACACCCAAAAATACTGATTGAAATGTTTCTTGTAGCGGCATATATTAGTCACATGCTGCGACACAGCGCATTCCGGACTGAGACATTTCGCTCGAGACTAAAATTTGTGGCCTTCTCTCTTGATGTAAGTAGTATTTTCTAAACTAACACTTAAATATTGGAAAGAAAACAGAGGTGAGAGTTACAACTTGAACGGCACCTACCTCTTTAGTTGCGTTTTTGACCCTAGGCGCTATGATATCTTTGATGAGTAGTTGAAGTCTCTTTGGTTTTGAATTCGCAGAAGAACTTTGAATTTGTGAGATCATTGTCAAAACAAATATCATTCCAAACACGACCTTTAAAAATAGTTCCATTCCTAGTTTGAAAGGAGGGAAAAGTGATAGTCAAATATAAAATATTCAATTGAGGAAAATAAAAATTTCGAAGAAATACCTATTTTACTTATTTTTGTTGATGGAATGATGCCTCGGTGAATGTGAGAAAGTTCACTTGATTATTGAAATTTAGCTGAACTTTGCGAGCCTCTCCATCCCTTTTCTTTCTTTGTAGAACACTACAACTGGTTATTATTTTATTACTCACCTGTTTCTTTTTTGACCATTTAATTTTTCTGTATTGAAGTTTTAGTTCTTAAACTGGCTATGACTATTGATTGCGAGTTGCCTTTATATCGAAGACACATTTCTATTTTCCCTTCCCTTACCTCATTCTCCTTTTGGAGTTCTTCCGCACCATTTTATTCCTGTTGTGTTTAAGTTCCCACAATCATAGTTACGAAAGATAATTTTTTTCTGTAAGCACGTACCCTTTTAACTGAATAATTTCCGATGGGAAGAATCGTATGCTTTTGTGACTCGACTTCATTTTGCCATTGATAGTGTTTTGAAAATGTAAACAAGATATTTCCATCAGGACTTCAAGGTATTTTAATCACATAAAATGCCGTATATTTAAGCCAGTTTGTTCCAGAGGTAATAAAAAGGTGTTTTGTTCTCTCTGTTTTGTACATCTGAGTTAGAAGTTTAATCTAATTTATACAATCAGTATCGTTACTTCATGTGCTATAGAGTAATGTGAACAATTTTAAGATGTCTTTCTGTGAAGCTCCCTAAATCATTGCGATTTCTTCCGCATGAGTACAAAAATGAAGGATCAATGAGGCAGAGACTAAGTGAGGATAGCCGAAAGAATCATGGCCGCTTTAGTTTAGGAGAAGCGAATCGGAAGTGACTATTTTCAATTAATTATAGAGTTATCACAATAACGTCATGTGGAATCATGACGCACGTGCTAAGCTGTATATAATTTTACACTGGACAAAAATATAAAACTGTTCTTGCGACTAGTGACACCTCTAAAACGCGTTTCCTTTCACTTACAGCTGTTCTAAAAATATTTTTTCCAAATATAACTTTCTATTTGTTTCTGTTTGGATGAAATTAATGTAAAATAGGATTTATGAATCCTTAAGTTTGTTTTATTTTTTCTAATCCATGACTTACGTTTTCCAAAGTAGAAAACTAACTGCCGTGTGAACGTATTTTTGGCAAGCTAAAGCTTAGTACTTACTTGGATGGAATTCATGTGAAATAGGATTTATTAATTAGTACTTAATTGGATGGAATTAATGTAAAATAGGATTTATGAATCCTTGAGTTTGTTGTTTTTTTTTCTAATCCATGACTTACGTTTTCCAAAGTAGAAAACTAACCTGCCGTGCGGGCGTATTTTTTAGTAATCGCAGAATTATTTGATGCAAAGGGTGATTAGTTGGAAGAGAAGCGTGTTCCTATCAAGGAAGGGTTGATGGGAGAGTCAAACATGATGGGTTGCTCAAGTATCGCTACTTTAGAACGCTCTCTGATCACTCTGGTCAGATGCTGATCAGATGCCTTTATTGCAGGTTTAATTTTCTCATGGTAAAGACTGCACACGACAAAATTTGAGTTGAGTGCCGTAAGCTGATTATCCTCATTATTCGAGCTAAAAAAATTCGTAGAACTAAGCCATAAATCTGTCACAATCTTTGTCTTTGTCCTTTAGAGGGGAAAGTCCTCTTCACGACTTAAGTGCACGTGATCGACAAAGAATAGGCGAATGGAAAACGATCGAACAGCCGATAAGCTTCAGTTTAGTTTTAAATTTGATCCAGCGCACTTTCTGTGAATATGAAAATAGTTGGTGTTCATGGAGGAGTCAAAATATTAAACAACACTTCTGACCGGAAATATGAAAAGTGAAAAGTGAAAAGCGGATGTGAAGGACTACCGTCTTACGTCTCTTAGAAGGAGAGGAAGATCTGATTTGCTAGTAAAGTGGCGTGATTGTTTGCCAGTTCATTGGATATTAGGCTGCAACAGGTTTGCTTAAAGTAGAACCGATTAAATATCCTATCTTCTGCCCCAGCAACATCGTCGAGGAAGTTAGTGAATTGAAACCGTGGAGGTGAAATCGAAACTAGATACTAGAAAAAAAAAACAATCTTCGCTTTAAAATTATCAATAATTGAATTTTCCATTTTCGAAGATACATACACTACACGCGACGTCGTTCGAAAAAGCATAGAAAGAGAAAATTGACTACCAGTGGGGGGAAGGGAAGGGGACTAATGGCGTCATCGGATAGATTTTATCTTGACACAACCAAAATTCTCCTACCCCCCCTCCCCCCCATCTAGGCGATGAATAAGGATCAGTCCCATACGTTAACCCTTTTACTCCCAAGATCTCATCAGCAATTCTCCTTACTGTCTGCAATACAGTTCTCATGTTGTTAGCATGGAGAATTTGATATTCGATCAGCTAACAATCCCTTGATATTTCATTGACGTTATGAGAAGAATTTTGTCTTGGTCACTCATGGGAGTTAAAGGGTTAAACAGTAAAAACACTAGCTTTCTTTCGTTGATGTAGTTTCCAAGTTCCTCTGAGACAATTTTAAATCAAGTATGAGTCATTTCAGTGTTGTTTAAGAGTATTGTATATCCCTTCACTGTCTCAGACAGTTACAAACTCGGTCATGTACAAGTATATTACAAAAACGCGATATGTAACAATTCTACCATTACACACTTATTTTCAAAAATAGAATGTCTTTCTTTAATTTTGATAACTTGTTTCAGGCACCTATAAGTTACAACTTAGTTAATAAGTTAGGAATATGACCACGTATTTTTAAATAAGTCAAGTTTTGGATTTCAATTGAACCTTAGTTGGTTCAGTTGAACGGTTATGAAAGCCGGCAATCAAGAAAAAAAATAAGAACAAAGCCGCTGGTTTTGCTGAGAGCTCACTGTGTGCACACGATCTTTTGTCTTCGCGTTTCCACATTGTGACTAAATACAGGGACAGAATCAAAATTTGCAAACTCTGATTCAGAAAACCCTAAATAAGCCAAGAAATATTTTGAGATTACCGACAATTTAAAAGTCAAGCTGTCTGACGCCACTACAATACATTAATGAGAATTCTGAATGGTAACTCAACATAATTGAAACTGTATTGAATGCTGGCCCGATCAGTTCACAAAAACCAAAAAAGACGATACAACATCAAAATTCTGTCAGGTTTCACAACCATTGCAGCACTTTATTAACTATGGTTCAAAAGATTCTTCAGCAGACATAATTGTTTGTTGAAACCGCTTGGTCATCAAGGGCTCAAAGATGGATTTTTTTGACTGAAAGTTAGATCAACGAGAGGCGGGTGGAAAACGTGTTTTTGCCAATATGGCTATACATAGCTTCTTATATCTTATAGTTTAACTATAGTATCTAACTATAAATAACTTTCGAACTATTTATATATTTATAAATAACGTTTTCATTTTACACACTTTACCTTTTTTCCTTAAGTAAAATTTTTTGTCTATGTTTTAGTGATAAATAGGGAAGATATTTGGCATGCTTCTACTCTATAGAAGGCGATGCCACATTTGTCATACTGGATGAATAGAAGAAGTGTGCTTCAGAAACCATATTGGTTACTGCTTCTCCAGATTCCAGAGTAACTTAACCAGTTGAAAATTTCCTTAAAACTCCCAACGTTCGATGAAGGACGCCCCCATTTTGTAAAAAGCTTTGTAACCTGTCCGCACACGCGAAACCACAACGTGCTGTTCACGGACAGCTGATGCTCTGGTTATCACAGAAAGAAATAAATAAATAACAAAAGAGAATCGATACTCGAGTTAAGAGGGGCTTCTTGTGTAGCTTCTTGTTGTTGAAACAGATCGCCAAGAGTGAGACTTTGCAGGTCACACTGTCAAGCGACCAGATTCTCTGGCTGGGTTCAAAATAGTAGTGTCCTTTGTTACTTTTTGAAATGCAATTCAGTGAATACATTGAAATATCAGAGTCAAAAATTATATGGTTTCTGGAGCATACTTCTCTATTAAATGAATTGGAAACAAGACAGAACTTCACGGATGACATCTTTTAATGTGTAAAGGATAGTATAGTTTCGATACGTCTTAACCACGTCATCAGTAATCGTCAGGCTCTGGTGATAAGAATAAATATGGAAGAGGGCTTTTAGATTTCTTCGTTGCAAACCAGAGGGAAAGAAAAAAAATTGTAGTCAGATTTCATTTTACCAAGCAAGTTTTGCGTAGGATTTCATCCATATAAACAAGATCTACGTTTGATTTGATTCGGTTTATAACAGATTTAATTTTGCTGAACAAGGTCCACTCGAAATTGGCGTTTCTTAAAATTTTTTACACAAGTTTTCTTTTCATTAAACGATATTTCCAAAGATTTTGTTTTGATATTCTAAGCAAATCGATCTAAGTGAGATGGCATTTACAAGATCGCCTTATGATTTCATTTGACACTCCAAACGATTTTTAAAAGATTTAACTTATTGGACAAAATCCACTCCAAATTTCATGTTGTGACTTGCGTAAAATTTCATTTTGATGTTCCAAACATGCCGATCGACATGATGTTTGATGGTTTTAAACAAGATCTAAATAGAGTTTCTGGATCAATGCGAGTATCTGAGCAACTGCACACCTACCATTCCTCTAACCAAAAATTAGCCCTAGCTTTTTACTGGTTGACTGTTGACGCGATCTACGTGAAATTTGTTTATGTTAAGAGCGAACTATGGTATTATTATAGCTCACAAAATAATCTCAGTCAACAAACCTGCACTCAATCAAAACTTTCTGACAAGTTCTAAAGGGTTCCCACGGTAATACGGCAGAGCCCAGTAGGGAGTTTAAGATGTCACGACGGACGCTTAACAATACTGAACAAATAAACTTTCTATCTTTTAGGCATTTCGCGCGTATTTCGACCACCTTCTCCCCTGAATAAGGGGTTAATTTCGAAAAGAAACGTGAATAATTTCGGAGGCTAGGTTCTCGTTCTCAGACAACGCAAAAATTTTCATGAATCCACGTTGTTTTGCTTCGGATGGCCAGGAAATGTACAAAGTTTGAAAACGCACGTGTAGAGCTATTGTTCTACGGACAGAACCTTTGTTTCGCCACGTTTCGGTTGCCATCACCATCGTGTTTTCCTCAAAGTCCCTAATCTTACAATGACATGGAGTCTTTGAATTTATATAAGTGTTCACGGTTCCGAGTGTATAGGGCATATACATTTAGTTTTGCAAGACGAT